AGCAGGAAAAAAGTGTTCTTTCTTCAACTCCAAAGGGCACTTTAGAGCATGGTGGATGAGGGAGGAGGGGAGGAAGAAGGGCATTGCTTTGAAAGCACTCCAAATACTCACACTCAGAGAACTCTATAGCCATCCTCTGCTTAATGAACTAGGCACTGCTCTTCCTCTATGTTCTTGCTTTCTGCTACCAATGGGGGAACACTTTTTTGATATCCCATATTCGAAACAGGCTGATTAGGCAGCAGTGTAATGCTACCACAGGCTCTTCCCTTTCATTTGAAGTGGCACTGGAAATTAAACTTATCTCTGTGCCAAAATGTTAGTCATGGAATAAATTTCCAATAACACATGTCCACCTACTGCCAAAGATGGGCAATAAAGCTCAGAGATGCTGCAAGGACAGGCAATAAAGCCTGGAGATGCTGAACTGATCCTTATTTGATCTTTGCCAGTTTGAAATGGAAAACAAAGTGACTGACTGCAGAAAATGACTTCATGTCAAGGCAGCGACATGTCAATTTTGAGATGCTGTCTTCAAATAGATGCCATCTGCAACCATCTGATGTGCCATCAAGAAACATGCCAGTTCCTTTTCCAGAATCTGCTACTTGAATGCCACAGATTAAGAAGGGAAAAAAATAGCTTTGAATGCAAGTGAACATCTATTTCCCTCCTGCTACGTTAAAAGCCTAGGCAAGCTGTATGGCGTGTGTTGAAAGAAGAATTTCAGACAAACGTGTAAGTGAACTTATTGAACATTCAAGATTATACACAAATAAAATTACTGTAGTACTGGGAATAAAATATCCACCCAGATATCAGAAATTTCTGAAGAGATCTCTTATTTCAAATTTGCTGATGACACCAAGATGTGGGGGGATGTGGGCACAATAGAAGGGAGCAACAGGCTACAGTCGGACCTTGACAGGTTACAAGGATGGGCAGAGGAGAACAGGATGGGGTTCAACACAGACAAGTGCAAGGTGATGCACCTGGGGAAGAACAACCAGCACCATACCTACAGGCTGGGGAACTCCCCTCTTGTCAGCACGGAGGTGGAAAAGGATCTTGGAGTCGTTATTGACTCCAAGATGAACATGGCTCGGCAGTGTGGGGAGGCGGCTAGGAAGGCCAACTGTACCTTGTCGTGCATCCACAGATGCATTTCAAGCAGGACCAAGGAGGTGATCCTCCCCCTCTATGCGGCACTGGTCAGGCCGCAGCTGGAGTACTGCGTCCAGTTCTGGGAGCCGCACCTTAAGAGGGATGTGGACAGCATCGAGAGGGTCCAGAGGAGGGCCACTCGCATGATCAAGGGACAGCAGGGCAGGTCTTATGAGGAAAGGTTACGGGACCTGAACCTGTTCAGCCTCCAGAAGAGAAGGCTGAGGGGGGAATCTTGTGGCCTGCTATAAACTAGTCAGGGGGGATCAACAGGCACTGGGGGAGTCCCTGTTCCCCCGGGCGCCGCCAGGAGTGACCAGGAATAACGGTCATAAGCTGGCGGAGGGAAGGTTTAAGTTGGACATCAGGAGGCGCTACTTCACGGTCAGGGCGGCTAGGGTCTGGAACCAGCTTCCAAGTGAGGTGGTGCAGGCTCCCACCCTGGGGGGTTTTAAGAGGAGGTTAGACGACCATCTTGCTGGGGTCGTTTGACCCCAGTACTCTTTCCTGCCATGGCAGGGGGTCGGACTAGATGATCTGCCCAGATCCCTTCCGACCCTAGAAACTATGAAACTATTCTTTCAAAGAAAGCCAGGTTAAAAATACTCATTTAATTTTAGATGCTTATTCATGACAGATAGTCACCGTCCTCGGATGACTTGTCTCTGGGAACTGAATTTGGGGTCTGAATCCAGAATGTAGGGGGGAAATGTCCAAAATCTATAATAAAACTAGTAGTTACGGTAGCAGTCTGAGGCTGAATAGTGATCTTTGAACACAATTTCCACATCATAATTGACTCTAAGATGAACATGAGCCGGTAGTGTAACGAGGCCATCAACAAGGCCAATCGCACCTTGTCGTGCATTAGCAGGTGCATGACTAATAGAACAAAGGAGGTGATGCTCCCCCTCTATGCAGCACTGGTCAGGCCGCAGTTGGAGTGCTGTGTCCAGTTTTGGGCGCCACACTTCAAGAGGGACGCGGAGAATCTGGAGAGGGTCCAGAGGAGGGCTACTCGCATGATTAGTGGCCTTCGTGATGGACCCTACGGGGGGAGGTTGAGAGAGCTGAATCTCTTCAGCCTTCACAAGAGACGGCTGAGGGGAGATCTTGTGGCCGCCTATAGATTTATTAGGGGAGGTCAACGGGGAATAGGGGAAGCGCTGTTTACTAAGGTGCCCCAGGGAGTGACTAGGAATAACGGGTGTAAACTAGTTGAGAGTGGATTTAGGTTAGATATTAGGAAGACATTTTTCACAGTAAGGTTGGCCAGGATCTGGAATGGGCTTCCAAGAGAAGTGGTGCTATCACCTAGCTTGGAGGTCTTCAAGAGGAGGCTAGATAGTCACCTGGCTGGGGTCATCTGACCTCGGTCCTCTTTCCTGCCAGGGGCAGGGGGTTGGACATGCTGATCCATTGTGGTCCCTTCCGGCTCTATCCAAAGGATTCATGGATTCATAGATTGTAGAGAGGCTTTGCCACATCAGTATTCATGTAAATAAATTGGTGGAGAGTGCAGAAAGGTTGCTCAATACCTTCATGATCAAGTTCATACAAGTCACCTTCTTTAAACCAAAATAAGCCCAAACACAATTATATTGCAAAACTATGCAATATTATTAGGTGTAGATGATAAGGTGATATACTATGCAAATCTGAATCAGTAATAGTTGCATGAACAAAGTCACAATGGAGTACTTTTAGGTGAGTAAGATGGAGAAAACTGGCTGCTTCCAGATCTAAGCATAAAATTTCATGACACCAACACAGCCCTAAAACAACAAAGGCTTTCCTTTTGCCTCTCACTGGCTTATTGGTTTGAATCATTTTAGTTTTCCCCACAGCTTAAGAGAGCTTATGGAAACAGGCTAGTTCCCCTTTAGTAAGGTTCACACGTCTGACAACCTTCTGGAGGCAGTTTTTGGCCTGCCTAACTCTATAATGTTAACTCTGTTCCTTTTTTTGTGAATTTATAGAAGTGTGAAACTAACCTCCTGTGTTTCACAGCTCCTGCCAACAGCTTTGCCTGAGAGAACCTGTTCTTGTTTTCCACTGATTTCATTGGCAATTTCTTCTCTGCTTCCTTCTTTGGGTCTGTGCTGACCCCCACTTTAGTGAGAGTGCTGTGAGTTAAGGGTTAAGGATCAGTTGGGAATTGAGAAATGAAGACAGCAGGCATTTCAGCATTACATCCAATTTAGCCTGCTGACAGTGGCAGATTGCAGTTCATTTGTGGTGCTTTGTATTCCACCTGAACAAGCTTATTTGAATGCGTTTAGGAGGCACCTAATAGTCATAAGAGAATGTGAAAACTACTTTAACTTGTTCCATTTAGAGTTGTTTGGTGCCCAGCCTGTTCCTGGAGGACTTGTGGGTAGAAAAAGACTACATTAGTACACTACACAGCAGAAACTGCTCTTTGGTTACTCTAGGACCACGGCGGGCAAAATATGGCCCGCAGGCTGCATCCGGCCTGCGGGACCCCTAAAATATTTAGAAAATATTTATCTGCTCCTGGCTGCCTGTCAAAGACAACAGAAGCCAGGGGAAGTAGGACCCAGGGGGAGCTAGCAGCAGGAGGCAGGAGCCCAGTCCCACCCACCCACAGCCATTTCCATGCTTCCTGCCCTTGCCCTGCTCCAGCACCACCTGGCTCCCAGCTGCATGGCTGGACCAGGGAGCATGGGGTCCTGCTGGTACGGGGGTGTGTGCAGACAGGTGGGGGGGGCCCCCACACCCTCTCACATACCCCAGCCACCCCACCACACATCCCCCCACGAACTCCATACCCACCCACACCACACATATCCACACACACCCACATGCTCCCTCACCCCACACACCCAAGCTCCCACAATATACAAGCGTAAGACTTCATTTTAAGCTATTGTGCAATCACCTCTGTGTACACTACACAAACGCATGTAAACCAGGGCAAAAATATTTTTTGAAATCAAATTAATGAATGTTTTAGATTTTCGCCTTTTAGAATACAATTTGGTACTTTTCTGGTTCTGAGATGTACTTTTTTCAGCAAGGGGTTTTGACTTCCGGAAGAGGGAGCGGAGGGACTTCTGGTGGCAAAGGTCAGGGGGCGAGAGTTCTGGTCCCAAGATGGCAACCAGGGGGTGAGGCACCTGTCAAGGGGCAGGGCTACGCATGCAGCCCTGGACAGCTTGCCAAAACTCGGTAAGTGGCCCTCCACCCAAAATAATTGCCCATCCCCGCTCTAGGAAGACAAGGGGGGGAGTTTGCATTGAACCAAGAAGCCATGCTGCCAGTACCTTAGGAGCTATTCCCTCGACAGGTGTTCTTTTAAAAAAGCTGGTAAAGCAGAGGGTAAGTTTTTAAACTTTTATTAAATTTCAGTAATATCCTCAGAGGCAATAGCTAACCTAAAACTTACCAAAGTGGGTTGCAGGTGAATCCCTGCCTGAGATGGATAATCTGGGCTGCAGGGAGCAAGGAGGGCAGGGGGGTTGTGTGCGTGTGGAATAAGACCTTTCTGTCTTGAGCCACACCCAGGACTTTGCACAAACACCAATCTGTTTTGCTGCCCATGGAGGAGGTCAGTTTGAGTTTAAAGGTAAAGGTAAAACCCTGCAAATGGCATCCTTAACTCAGTTCTAAACTGATACCTCTGCAAACTCTTTGACTCCAATTCTGTGAATGAGCTGACCACAAAAATACCTAAATCCAAGTTCATAAACCATTATACGTTATCACCTGTTGCAGCGAACACCCAGGAAAAGGAAAATTAGATTTGGCAGGGCAAATCAATGCAGTGGCAACAGATGCACAAATACTCAATTTTAGGGTATACCAAAGTCCTTGTACACTTTGTTTAAACAGTAGGCTCAAGATCTCCCACCACTTTTTAAAAACTTGAACTTAAAGTTTAACAAGGGGTTGCCCCCTGATTTGTACTTTATTATCCAGAGATATGTTAATTGTCCTTAACCCTGTTTTGTAGGGGTGTGCAAAGCGGGCCCTATTTGATTTGGATTTGGCCCAAATTGGGGACAGTGATTCGATTAATCAATTCAGATCACTGTCCCCAATTCAATACAGCTGAATCCAAATCTGAAGATTCGATGCTGATTCAGAGAATCAGTGATTTGGACACAGACACAGCTTTAAATGTTTTTTCTACATACCTCGAGGTACCAGTGTGGTTTGTGAATGCTGCGATGCTGGGGCAGATGGAGCGTCCCACAGGAGTGTGGGGGAGGGCCCCCCCCATGTGCTTGGCAGCGAACCTGGAAGCGGACCAGAAGCACTTCCAGGTCCGCTGGGGAGTGCACTGGAACATCCCCCTCGCGCCTCAGCGATTGGTTACAGGGGGACCCTGGGTGTCCCCCCAGACCCAGGAGGCACCAGTCACCAAGCTGGGGGGACACAGGAGTGTGGGGCTATGCATTCCCCAGTGGACCCATAAGTGGACCAGAAGTGCTTCTGGTCCACTTCCGGGTCTGCTGTCAAGTGCACTGGTGAGCCCCCCGTGCTCCTGTGGGACGCTCCATGCACCACAGCATCACAGCACTCACGAACTGCCTGCTACCTAGAGGTATGTAGAAAAAACATTTAAAGCTTAGTTTATGTCCGAATCGCCGAACCTTTCCAAATTGATTCGGAGGGTCCCAATTCAATTCGGAGAGATTAAAGGGTCCTCTGATTCAATTCAGATTCAGAGATTTGGCTACCAAACCTGACTGAATCTCCGCCAAATCGAATCAGGGACCGAAGCTTTGCACAGCCCTACTATTTTGTCAAGTTTGTGACTCATGCCTCTCTACAGCATGCTAGTTTTTTAAATCATAGTATAATGATGCCATCCTGTGGCTACAAAGCAAACAACACTAGCTCAATACTTGCATGTCCTAACACTTCTGAATAGTGTCATGTTGCAACATGTGGTTCCTTTTGTCTTTTTTTTTATCAGGGTAGGAGGTTCACTGTTGTATTATGCCTTAATTAGGCAACTAGACCTGTGATGAGCAATTTTTGTTGTTGTTGAAATTAGCAGATTCATGTACTGGAACTGCTAGTAGGTCCTCCTATAAAACTTACAGCATTCTATATCAACAGGAAACTCTCAGCCTCATTCAAAAAGTGGTAGGATTTAAGGAGAAACTTAAAAAATTAACTCCTCATCTAGAAAGAGAATTAGCTGAACTAAGATATCAGATTCACCCAAAGAACCTTGTCCACCCATAATTGGCACCCTTTCCCACTGTTATCCATGGAAATTGATTTGTCCAAGTCAATCCCATGAAGACCATTTCAAGCAATGCTTCTGTGGACAAATGTCTTATCAGCTGTGATACACTTTTTCCCCTTTAAAATGACTTCTGGACTGTTAAGCAATTAGGAATGTGTGCGCAGCATGGCATATTTAATCCATTTATTGGTAGATGTCTATAACCTAGACTTAATGCCTTTAGATAGTTTAAATTAGAGCTTGTATTGAGAAATTCACATGGAACAATAAAAGAAGCAACATTTTCTGTCCACTTGTTAGACTGGAAGGAACTCTGGAGCAATTAACCTCCTTCATGTTTGTATACAATTATATTGTTCAAAATGTATGGGCACTGACTATTGATAGTTAATGGTGCAGAAATTGTTTGTAGTTAATGGGAAATAGCACCTAAAAGAATTTAAGGTAGAGATGAGATATTTTACAAGTTTTGTGACCTTGTTTCATACAGATGTAGAGTCTGAAAATTACCAAGATGCTCAAAACTGCTTGTCAAATTCCCAAGTCCCATGCTGAATACTAAAAATCCTCACTGATGGCATTCAACAGACATATGGAGAATGAATTCTGTGATTCGTAACAGTGGATATACCATGCCCCCTTCCTGTCCCCCATGCCTTTAAGACTATAAAAAGATAACTTTACCAATACCTAAAAATATCCCAATCGTTTCAGGGGTTAGTGTGTTGTCTAGCTAAGGCATAAAACAAGATTCCTTCTAGGCTAGCAGGATTCACTATTGAACTTGCTTGACCCAGCTAGTGTGGTCAGTTGTTTTCACAGCACAGATTTGCCATGCATATCTTAGCATCCAGCAGACCCTAAGGAAGTACTGCTAAAGGGTAAATATATCCCATTCAGCGTCAGTCCCAATAAGTCAAGGAAACAATTCTACAGCATGTGCCAACTACATCCCACATGAAGTTCTCTCAGTTGTAACTGTACTGGGTCATTTGTAAAAGATTATCTGCAAAGTACCACCCATCCCATCCCACCACACCAGAAAATATGCAAAGGACACGGGTGCCATTAAGTGTTGAATTTGCAGTTAAGGACTACCTTGTAATAGTTAACTGAGACCTTTTTGGGGGGGGGGGGGTTACCACAAAAGAAAAAAAAATCTTCAGCTTGATTCTCTACTTCTCTTGATTTACCTTAGTGTCATTTTATAGTATTTTGACACTCCTTGTGTCATCTCACCTCCACCTGCTCCCATGTCTAATATTCTCCCAGTTCTAAGTGCACTAGAATTTGTACCACACTTGATTTCTTACAAATAATTCTCTCTGTCGAAACTGACCAGACAAGAGAGAATCATCCATATATAAGAAAATGCAAACATGGCAGGATGCCCTGCTTGTGCCCCTGCCCCCCAGCCCTGTACCTCCCTGCCCCCCAGCCCAGGCTCTGTGGCTGTCAGCAGCTACCCCGGCTCTGGGTAGCTGCTGGAGCCCAGGCTGCTCCCAGCAGGACTTGCAGCATCCCAGCTGCCTGCTGGGAACAGCCCAGGCTCCTGGCTGGCAGCAGCTACCCAGAGCAGGGGCCAGCTGCAGCTCAGCTGTGCTGGGCTCCAGCATCAGCTCTGTACCAGCATGTGTACCCGCTTCTCGGAGTGGGGGGGCCTGAGGCAGTGCAGCTCCGGTTTCTGCCCCACTCCTGGCACAGAGGTGATAGCAGGGCTCTGGAGCCCAGCGCAGCTATCTGTAGCCATCCTGGGCTCTGGGCAGCTGCAACAAGCAATGGGCAGGCTGCAAACAGCTGCACCAGGCTCCGCAGCTCTGGCATCAGCTCCATGTTGGTGGCGACTGCGTGTGCACCTCGAAGCAGACAGTGGAGCAGTGCAGCCCGCCCCGAGGTGCCCGTGCAGCTGCTGCCAGCATGGAGCCTCAGGCCCCTCCCCTCCCACCGCCCGCTCCAAGGCGTGGGTGCACGTACTGGCACGGAGCTGATCCCGGAGCCTGGCGCAGCTGTTTGCAGACTCCCAGCTGCAGCTGGCCCCGGCTCTGGGTAGCTGCTGCCAGCCGGGAGCCTGGGCTGCTCCCAACAGGCAGCTGGGACGTTGTAAGCCCTGCTGGGAGGAGCCTGGGCTTCCGGCTGGCAGCAGCTACTCAAAGCCAGGGCTGGCTGTGGCGTGCCGAGCAAAATGGCCTCATGTGCCATGCTTGGCATTCGTGCCGAGGGTTCCCGACCCCTGGCATAGGCTAAAGGGATAGAGGGTGCATATAAAGAAAGGACAGGCTTTCTCATTATATTTCACACTTACCATAATACAATGGCAATTATTAGGAAACCACAAAATAGGGAAATACTGAAGATGCACTAAACCAGAAATACTGACAGAGCTGTAGTGAGAACAAAGGTAAACTTTAGAGGAGACCCTCTACCTCTTGCTATACAGAAACATTGCTTTGAAAAAAGGCCACACGTGGTAAGTTTGACTGCAGCACATTAAAACTATAGCTCAGTGGTTTTTTTCTGTGTAAAAAGTTAAGACACCAGCCATTTCAGTGCAAAGGATATTCTATATTCATTTAGTTCTTTCAGTTCTTCTTCTCTTCGTTGCTTTTCTATTAGCTCTTGTTGCCGAGAAACCTCATCAAGGAAATTTGTTTCATCTTCATCTAAGCCTCTTACCATATTTTCTGGAAAAAAACCAAACCAATGCATATTTATTAGAAAGGATATTAAGGAAACTTGGAGAATGAAGAATTAAGGGAATGACAGTTTTATAACACTTTCCATTTAATTGCTTTAGAAACAGTAGATACTAATCCACATTTTACAGAAGTTCTAACACCACTGACACAGTGGGGTTAAAAAAAAGATTGGCACATACTCACAGGCCAGGTAAGGATTAGAACCCAGGGCTGCTGCTGACACCATGTGTCCCAATGACCACACAACATTGCTATGCCAGCTACATAATGGACCTTTCCGAAGATTAACCCTTCTGAAAACAATCTGCACACTGACCTGACTGTTTTTATAACTAAGAAGCAAAAATATTTCCCAGACAATAAGACTGCATATTAACTAAGCTGAGCTCCCAAACATTCAAGAACTGTCAAGCTAGGCTCTGTATTTTTAAAGAAAGCAGCCCATACCCTATCACACAGTTGCATTTATAAGAACAGTGAAAACTAAAATACTCTCAACGTGCTTAGCCTCTCCTAGATTTTTAGAATTGCAGCTTATCTGCTCTTCCATGTAGGGTACACAGAGTTTTCTAGAAAGTTCTTTTAAATCTATTATGCAAAGGGGACTAACTCTCAGCCACACACTTTTAAAGAGCTAATGAAAAACTTAGGGCAAAAAGTCTTCTATCTTTGTGGTCACCCTGGAAATTCTTTTTAGTCACAACTTGCTCAATTTCGCTATTTTTTCCCCCCAGTAAACACTTAATTCCTTCAGCGGATTTGTGACTTTGCATATTAAGAGGGTTGTACTTTTGTGCCTCATAGGCCTGAGTTATACTACCTTGAGGGCAAGCCCTGAGAAACCCACTTAAGCCACTCTTTGAAATGGGAGCAACTTCAAATTCAATTACTATCAAATTCAAGACAAAGTTCTGCAAAAAGTTAAGTTTTAGCCCTCATGTTTAAAGCATACAGTGCTACTCCCTGGGCACATTTACACAAGACTTTTACTGCAGAATACAGTAATTGGCTCCACAGTAAACATCTCACTGTCTATGTGTGCAGGGCTAGTAGGCTGGAGTAAACTAATAAACTGCAGCAGGGTAGCCAGTCAACCACACCTCAGTCCCTGGAAACACCATGGAGCAGGTCCTTAAGGAATCCATTTCTAAGTACTTGGAGGAGAAGGTGGTGATTAGGAACAGCCAATGTGGATTCACCAAGGGCACGTCATGCCTGACCAGCCCGATTGCCTTCTATGATGAGATGACTGGCTCTGTGGATGCAGGGAGACTAGTGGATGTGGTGTACCTTGACTTTAGCACGGCTTTTGATACTGTCTCCCACAACATTCTCACAGGCAAGCTAAGGAAGTATGGGCTGGATAAATGGACTATTGCGTAGATAAGGAAACTGGCTGGAGCATCGGGCTCAGAGGATAGTAGTCAATGGCTCAATGTCTAGCTGGCAGCTGGTATCAAGTGTAATGCTCAATGGGACAGTCCTGGGAATGGTTTTGTTCAATATTTTCATCAATGATCTGGAAGATGGGATGGAGTGCACCCTCAGCAAATTTGCACGTGACACCAGGCTGGGAACTGACCCAGTAGCTTTACAGACAAGGGGGTTACAGTGGGGGTAACTGTCCACTTTGAGGGTTACAGTGGACAATAAACTGAATATGAGTCAGTGTGCCCTTGTTGCCAAGAAGGCTAACAGCATCCTGGGCTGCATTAGTAGGAGAGCTGCTAGCAGATTGAGGGAAGTTATTCTTCCCTTCTATTTGGCACAGGTGAGGCCTCATCTGGAGTGCTATGTCCAGTTTTGGGCCCCCACTACAGAACGGATATGGACAAATCAGAGAGTCCACCAGAGGGCAAGGAAAATGGTTAGGGGATTGGGGTACATAACTTCTGAGGAGAAGCTGAGGGAACTGGCTTTTAGTTTAGAGAAGAGAAGACTGAGGTGGGATTTAACAGCAACCTTAAACTACCTGAAGGGCAGTTCCAAAGAGGATGGAACTGGACTGTTCTCAGCGGTGGCGGATAACAGAACAAGGAGTAAAGGTCTCAAGTTGCAGCAAGTGAGAGTCAGGTTGGGTATTAGGAAAAATTCTCTCACTAGGAGGGTTGTGAAGCACTGAACAGGTTACCTAGAGAGGTGATGGAATCTTAATCTTTGGTGGTTTTTAAGGCCCGGTTCAGAGTCCTGGCTCAAATTATCTAGTTGGGGATGGTCCTGCTTTGAGCAGGGGGTTGGACCATATGACATCCTGAAGTCCCTTCCAACCCTAATTTTCCATGCTTATGTGGTACTTTTAAATACAAGTATTATTCTGCTGCAGAGTTATTTTACTCTGCAGCACCACATGTGCAAACACTGATGTGACTGACTGGGGCATGAGGGTGCTTCAGTGTGGTGACTGCCTGCCAGCTAGCCCCACACTAGAGCACCCTTGTGCCCCAGTTAGCCCCTCCACAGCACATTGGGTGGGGTTGAAGCAGTCCCAGGCTGGCAGGCTGACCCCCCTGACTCCTTGACAGTCAGGGTTGCTCTGACCCAGCTCAATGTGCTGCAGTCCTGGGCGCACGTGTACACACGGTACCCAGGAGCGATAAACTCTGGTGCAACAGGCACCAGAGTTTTTTGCGTTGCATTGATATACACGTGTAGATGTGCCCCCTTAGTCTCTAGACCACAGTTGGGCAAAATACGGCCCACGGGCTGGATTCAGCCTGCAGGGTCTCTAAAAAAAAATGTAGAAAATTTATATTTCTCTGCCCTTGGTTCCTGTCAAAAATGACAGGAACCAAGGGCAGCAGGACCCAGGGGAAGCGCAGCAGGCTCCAACAACAGTGGGCCTGCCCGCCCCACAGGAAGCCCCAGCAGGGGTTTCTGGGCTGGGATCATGTGGCTGCCCCGGTGCGGGAAGCTCAGGTAAGGCGGGGGGATGCCAGGCAAGGAAGGAGCGCGGTGTGGGGTAAGCGGCCCCTCCCCACCCACGCCCGGTGCCCTGTGCTGAAGCTGCTTGAAGCCCGCGTGGGGCTGCCTGTGCCCGCTCCGGACAGCCCTACACAGGCTGCGAGCACCTGCAATGTGGGGCACTGGGTGTGGGAGGGGCCACTCCCTCCCCACGCTCAGCTTTTCCCTGAGCTCCTTCCCTGCGCAGAAAAAAGCAGCCCCTTGCCTGCCCCATGGCCGGCACCTCGAGCTGCAGGCGCTCACAGCCCACTCGGGGCTGTCAGGAGCAGGCACAGGCAGCCCCAGGCAGCCCTCAAGCG